GTGACAGTAGTTCTGTGTGAGGGACAAGACAGCAGATCTGTGTGACAGGAGTGTCAGCAGTTCTGTGTGAGGGACAAGACAGCAGATCTGTGTGAGGGACAAGACAGCAGATCTGTGTGACAGGACAGGCAGCAGATCTGTGTGATGGGACAGGCAGCAGATCTGTGTGACAGAAAAGAGAGCAGATCTGTGTGACAGGACAGGCAGCAGATCTGTGTGACAGGACAGAGAGCAGATCTGTGTGATGGGACAGGCAGCAGATCTGTGTGACAGGACAGAGAGCAGATCTGTGTGACAGGACAGGCAGCAGATCTGTGTGACAGGACAGAGAGCAGATCTGTGTGACGGGACAGGCAGCAGATCTGTGTGACAGGACAGGCAGCAGATCTGTGTGACAGGACAGAGAGCGTATACTTGTAAGGGGACTGACAGCAGGAACTACATACTCCCCCTTTCCTGTTTGTATAATTATCTTTTGATAAAACATAAAAATGCTTTCCAGAGTGTAAATATTTTTGGGAACAATAATAAAAGAATTTAATTTCCAGTCCAACTGGATTTGTACCTCCAAGGGGGTTTCAGTCGTTTCTGGGTGGTGGGAGGGTTTAATGCAGATGAAGAAGAATGCAGGAAGTTCCAGGAAGCCTGGGCTGTCTAAAACAAGCTCTTTCAGCTCAGGGCTGACACGCAGTAAACTCTCTCTCTCTCTGCTCAGTCCGGAAACACAGCGTTCTCTCCTGACAAACAGTGCGCTCTCTCTCTGCACTGAAACACACAGTACACTCCCTCTCAGCCCTGCACTGACACACACACACAGTGGCCTCTCTCCGCTCTGTGCTCACACACTGCGCACACTCAGACACTCAGACACAAGGACGCTGAGAGACTCGGCGCTGCTCTCCTGCAGGAACAGGACTCTCGCAGACAGGAAGACTCCAGGCCCAGGGAGACGATGGCAGGTGAGTGGATTCTCTTAAACCAGCCTCGGAGGTAAACTAATCCATCGCTCTGGCAGCGGTGGCCATGTTGTGCAAGCTGAGGAGTAGGATTATTTATGAAAGGGGAGGGTGTGTCTGCTGGGCTTTCTGCACCGTCAGGACGAGCTTCAGGAGCCTCCCATCTGCCCCGTCCACCATCTCCACTGGCTCGGCTGCACAGGAAATGCACTCTGCTGCATCCTGCTCCTCCACTTGCGATCCGCCATCTGGCCTGACGCTGGCCCTGGAAGTCCGTCTCATCTCAGGGCTGGAGTGCAGAGAGATCCCTGCTCCAGCAGTCCGAGGTCGCAGGTGACCGAGCTGTAGGTGCCTGAGGTCGCAGGTGACCAAGCCACAGGTGACCGAGCTGCAGGTGCCTGAGGTCGCAGGTGACCAAGCCACAGGTGCCCGAGGTCGCAGGTGACTGAGGTCGCAGGTGACCGAGCTGTAGGTGCCCGAGCAGCAGGTGACCGAGGTCGCAGGTGACTGAGGTCGCAGGTGACCGAGCTGTAGGTGCCCGAG